TAACGGATGAAGGTGCGTAAATGACCAGTAATCCGAGAGATCAGATGAGATAAGTTATTTCTTTCAGTGTCTTAGACTTCGGCTGCACACGATACTTAGAGAATAAATAACATCTTCTTTTGCTGGGGGTCGGTTCTAAATTTCACTAATCAAACAGATCCTGTTTCATTCAGTTGATCCGATTGTGGAAAACTCGGCCTCAGTGAGGGGCGAACCCACAAAGCAGGGGAAGCTTTTGCGCAGCATACGCTCTACCGCTGACCTACGAGGTTCACCGTGAGCCTCAAGTATCCACATCTATAGGGTGTGCATCTTTGTTTTCTGACCGCCAAAACAAAGTAGCAAAGTAGAGGAAATTGGCGAAAAATCACTGAAAGTTTTTTCTTCCAGTGAGGTAGGACTGGTTATGGACAGTTGGTCTAGATGAGCGTCACAGTAAGTGCACAGGAGAGTATCACGCCTACTGACGGATATTTTCGATATTGTTGGAGAAAATAGAAGATAGGTATTGAATACTTAATGAATTGTCAAGTAGTATGCATTGAGGCTTTCAGCCGTGACACAGAAATCATTTATTGGCTCCGGTGAGGATTATGAGAGTAACACAGATGAATCTTCAGGTTCTCCACGGTTTGTCTTAGCAGGACATAGTAACTGACACCGAAGAATTCTTTTATATTGCCACGCCTCCTCCCCCTCAGTTACAAAAAACTTTTGGGGCACGGTTATTCAACATTACTTTCCTTAGGTAAAGTTTCAGTGAATCCTTTTCAATACAGAAAACACGTGCCAATATGCAATAAATGAGTCTACCCCGATTTTCCCCCTTTTTTCCTGGATATTTGACCTTAGGATTATCGTGGAAGACGATTCAGCAGGACTGAGACAAGGAAACGGCCGAAAACCGTTTCTACCTTTGAATGTCTGCGCGATTCTCAGTATAATGTCGCTCGGGATACGCACCAGTAAGCAGCGTTGTGTCTGTCTCAAGATTAACTGCAATCTAGTGCGTGGCTCTTTTGGGCCTTCTACCCAGCTAGTTCTGTCCCCGGTTATTCGTTTACGGCACACGTTAC